AGACAAGCAGGCCACCGAGAAGCACGTGGCAGACAAGCAGGCCACCGAGAAGCATGTGGCAGACAAGCAGGCCACCGAGAAGCACGTGGCAGACAGACATGCTACTGAGAAGCACGTGGTGGAGAAGCATGTGGTGGACAAGCACACTGCTGAGAAGCATGCTACCACAGGAGGAAAGAGTGAGAGCAGTGCAGGTAGAACTTCTTTGTCAATGCTACCACTGGGCAGTGGCCTTCCCCAAATAGTTCCCCCTGACCCAATCTATTTGCTCTTCTCTTGTATTTAGGAGAAGGAGGGGGGTTTTCCCTGGGACATTGACATCAACCTTGTAGTGCTTTATCGGGCTTGCTTGTTGCCCTGAAACCTTCTCTGCTATCTCCCCAGGGTCACCTAGAGGAGGAGACCTAGGTACTGACTCCTCTCATAGCTATGAAAACTCACAGGAGTTCCGAGTAAGACAAGCTGCAGCCAGCCAGGGGTTGCACTTCTCACAAGAGAAGGTCTTCCCTCAGTTTTTAAAAAATCTGTGATACATATAGTGAGCTTGCCCAGATGGTGGCTGCTTGGGGACTTATTTGTGACTCTATTTTGCTTTCTCAGCTGTCCACTGCCCTCACTATGGAATGAATACAGCCAGGGTCACTGCTGGCCTATCACAGCTTCTCAGTGGTTCATTGTAACACTGTTCTGGCAGCTTTTCCCATCACCACACCGCATTGGATTTTTTGTGTCTAAATGGTAGCTGTAGTGTATGGAATCATTACTGGTTTGTTCATTTACTTTGATCTTTTTTTTCTTGCTGCCTCTTTTCTGACATAGCCTTGGGGAAGCCCATGGCTGGCACCACTGATGCAGGAGAGGCTGCAAAGATCCTGGCTGAGAAGAGACGACAGGCTCGGCTGCAGAAAGAACAGGAGGAGCAAGAACGACTGGAGAAGGAAGAACAGGAGAGGTATGCAGGTGCTCAGAGTTTCTGCAGGATCTTATTTAAAAGCTGAGTTGCAAAGAGCAGCTTGACTTTCTTTTTGTGCTTTTGGTATTGCTAAAGCCTAAGCAGAAGTGTTAAGACCTAGAATGCCTGGACTGCATCTTCTGTTTGACATAATTTTTTTTTGTCTTTTTTTTGAGAGGATATTTTGCTATGCAGTTTAGGCTGGCTTGAGCGCACAGCAATCCTCCTACCTCCCAAGTGCTGGGATTATATATAGGTGTGCATCACCATGCCCAGGCACTGTTTGACATAATTGACACAGGTAGAATTTTGTTCTTTTCAGAGGACCTGGAAACTCATAGGGGTTGGATCTAGATGTTACAGGCAGTCCTCATAGAGCTATCGGGAGAATGTTGACTATAGAATGAGAATATCCCTGGGAAGACAGAAATTTCTGGATGTAGAAAACTTGGTTTTGCTTCCCAAATTGTTTTCTCTCCCAGATTATCCTAATTTACACCCCAGAGTCAAAATGAAATGAGTTGGGCAGAGTCTCCTAGATGAGGGGTAAGGTGAACCAAGCTCATAGTCCATGAACAATAAGCTGTGGGGAAGTCCTGTCTTGGAATAAGACAGAACTTGTCATTGCAGTGGCCCTTAAACTTTGGAAAGTATCAGAATCCTCCAAAGAACACAGGGAAGATACACCGATCTAAAGACCTGCTCTGTTTTAATAGCTCAGTAGTGTTTGAGATCCACTATGGTGATAGTGCCAGGGCACTTTGTCACAATACAGTCCTGCCTTTTTGATCTTTGTATTCGGAGAGGGAATATATATTAAAGGACAAGGTTGATTTTATTGATAAAGGAAGCTCTTAGAATCATCACAGAGTCCAAGCCAGTGCTACTTAGAGAGTGACCAAGGCAGGAAGCAAGCAGTGCTGTGGCACCTGAAGGCCAGTACTGGATTTAAATTAATGAATAATAGGATATTCTTGATCGTTTAGTAACTTTGACAATTCTTTGTGATCTCTGCGTATAGTTTTGCTGATGTAATTTTTTTCTTTTTGTGGTGTGTGTGGTACTGAGGATTGAACATTAAGCTGCATCTCCAGCCCATTTTTTTTTTATTATCTGTTTTGAGACAGAGTTTTGCTAAGTCACTAAGGTACCCAAGCAAGGCTCAAACTTGGTGATCCTCCTGCCTCAGCCTTCCAGAGTGCTGGGATTATAGGTGCCTGCCACCACACCTGGCTTGATCTAATTTTTAGGAGTGGAATCTTGTCTGATTCCTTCTTAAGTTCTGGGCTTCTGCGATTATTTTCTCACTCCAGCATTTCAGTTAAAGACAGTAACCACTTGATGAGTGGTGTGTTCAGGCTTGTTTGGGTGGGCCATAGGTCACGTGAAGGGAGCTCACAGGAGATGATGAATCACAGGACTGCAAATGACAGGCCTTGGTAATTGCAGGCCGTAGAGGTAAGGTGCATGTTCTGAGCAGGTGAGTGATGTGATTATTGCTATGTGCTTAGAAAGGGGAAATTCTCTACCTTTCTAGCCACCATCTTCTCTTTTACATTACCTTCATAGCCCAGCTCCTGAAAACTGATTGTACTAACTGTATCTTTATTTCCTCAACTCATACTTACTCTTTAAACCTTATAACCACCATTCCTCCTAATCTCCAGATACCTGAGTCTCATCTGTCTACCCCTTATCCCTTAAATGTTGCTTCAGCTTCCAGCCCTCAGTTTCTCACCTGACAAGCCCTTCATGAACAGTGCTGTTCCCTCCTGCTCTGTGATTATTCCTACCACTACTAGTTTCCTCTGGCTTCAGAAGATTTAGGGTTCATGTTTCATATAGGAGTTATACATTGAGCCTTTGGTGTGTTAAATCAACTTTACTTTCATCTCCTTTCCTACCTTCTTTCTCCCTTTGCCTTGTTTTATCATGTATTTCTAAAGCTAATTGCATCTTTCTTTGTAAACTTTGCAGACTTTCCGGAGTAAGAGAAGTGCTAGACATGCCTCTGAAGACTACTGTATCTGTGCCTATGGCCTGGTCTCTGCCCAGGGCTGTATACTCTAGTACCATAGCCTCTAGGTATATGTAGCTACTGAAAGATAGGTTAGAGAACATTTGGTTTCTCAGCCATAGTAGCCGTATTTCAGTACTCAGTAGCCAGATTCGGCTAATAGCTACTTCAGTGGGCAACTCAATTCTATAGAATGTTTTCCTCATCACAGAAAGTTATGTTGGATAGCACTTGTCTGGAACCCGGACTGTACAGCTGCCCATGCTTTCACTTGAATGTACCCATATTCATCTCAAATTCAGCAATTCCAAGGCAGCACTTAGTATCTTTCACCCAGACTTGCTTTTCCATTTACAAGTTCTGTGCCCCCATCTATCCTAAGACCCAAGTCAGAGGTCTCAGACCCACTCTCGACTGTTCCCTTTCCATCCTCCACACTCCCATTAGCTGTCAAGTCAGCCCTCATTAGCTGTCGCATTTGCATCTCTGTTCTTCCTTCCCCTTTAGCCCGTGTTGGACCTGGGCTGTCTGGCATCCAACTGGAGTGCCTTGTTCTAGGTCTGCCAGAGCTTGTCCACTATCCATGCTGTATCCACAGTGACCTTTCTCAAATAAGTGCAATTGTCCTGCTCCTGTGTTTTAACAAGCTGGTGAGTCCCCTGCCCACAGGATCCATCCAAACCCATCCATAGCCCTTGAAGGCCTCCGATAAACTGGCTGCTCCTTGCCTTTCTACCTGCTTTTCCTCTAGGCTGCAGTCTGCAGATCCCTCTGAAATTCCTCCATCACACAGCTCTATACCTCCAAAGTTTTGCTTTTACTATGCTCGTACATAGACTCATGCTCTTCTTAAACCATAGGTCAAACTCATTCCTCTGTAATCTGTCTGGCCCTGTGCAGGTGAGAGAACTGACCTCCCCCACTCTTCATCCTTTCTGATCTCCACTGTTAGCTGACTAGCAGGCACCAGCCTCATGCATTTACAGGCTCCTTTTCCCTGGTAAGCATCCCAGAAGGCTGGGATTACAGTCTTTGGATTGCTTGTGCCTGGTGTTCAATTAATATATGAGAAAGGAAGGCAAGGAGAAAGAGGCTTGACTAAGAAACCATGGCAGTAACAGGTTAAGAAGACACAGAACTAAAGTAGTATGGTGAAAGCAAACTAGGAAAGGGAGTCTACAGACTTGCATAACTCAAAAGAAGTGGGCAGATTTAAAGTTGATGCTAAGATTTGGCTCAAAGGACTTAGGAGAATGGTACACCCAATGACAGATAATGGAAGGGTAGAAGGAATTATTTTAAAGAATAAAAATGACCTGTTTGATATTAGATAAATTAAGTTTAAAGTACCTATAGAATACCTAGGGGATTGGAAATGGAATTGAAACCTGGGGCCTACGTTAAAAATGAGACTAAATACTTGACCCAAAATCAGTTTTCCTTTTTCTTGCCAGAATGTGAAACTTTGCATAGTGCCACGTGCGAGGTGAGAAAGGAAAGTACCAGACACCCTGGGGCTGGAACACAGCGGATACCTCTTGGAATAAGATCATCCTTGCATCTGTTTTATACTTAAAGTTAATAGTTAAAACCACAGAAATGTTATTGCCAGTTGAGAAAATATAGAGAAAAATAAAAAATACTTGAGCCAAACCATGGAAAGCCCAATTATTGTGACCATCTGTTGAGACAAACACTATCCAAGTCAGGGATGGGGCAGACTTCCCTTAATATAAGGGCTAACCAACAGTCCAGACAACAGTGCCCTAAGAAGAGCAAAAGCTATTCCAGTCCCAACGAGCAGTGACATCAAAGCTCTCTCAGAAACACAGAAAACAAGCCCAGTGCCTGGGCTTGGGGATGGGCAAGATGTTCCATGGGATTCTTGGTGCTGGAGCAAGCAATCTTAGATCCTGGATCTACTCTGGGCAAGGCACTGGCAGAAACTAGCAAGTAAGAAATCTTACCGAGATTTGAAAATAGATCATATGAAGTCACATTAAGAAGGTGAAGTAACTGCTAGAGGTCCAAAACAAAGAATATTGAGGCAGGGCAGCCCCACAAATAAAGTCATGTAGCCAGGCTCAAGTTTGGTGTCCAAGCAAGGTCCCTGTTCCTGGAGTTGCAGGCAGGGGTCCTCAGGAGTGTTCAAACCTGGCTTCTTGCTTGCTGAGCCTCCAAAGGTCAGGTAGTCTTGGTATGAGCTAGAGCAGGCAAGAGCTTTCTGAATGGGGCTTGGGCATTAGGACAGGAAAACAGCTTAGGTAGGAGGAGCCACAGGGTTGTAGAAAGGGCCTTGTGGGAGGGATGTTCAGGCTGTTGTACCTGTGAGACATGTCCAGGCTGAGGAAAGGCTACTGGTCTTGGGATTTAGGAGATGAGCAGGGATTTTAGAGGGAAAGTATTGAGAGGAGGGGTAAAGGCCCCAAGTGGGAGCTCACATTCCCTTGTCATGTGTGGAAAGGAGGTAGAAGATTAAAGGGAGTGGCTTTGGATGCTCAAGGCCCATATATTTTTGCAGGGCATGGAAACATGCATGTAGAAAGGTGCAACTAGAGCTGGCCATGGTACCACATGCCTGTAATCCCAGCATTTGGGAGGCTGAGGTAGGAAGATCGCTGTGAGTTCAAGGCCAGCCTGGGCTACATAGTGAGTTCAAGGCCAGCCTGGATTACAAAATGAGACCTTCTCTCCAAAAAGGTGCAACTATCATTGGAAGGAAGAGGGGCTAGCAGGAAGATTGTGGAGCTACCAGGAGGGTATGGAATTCATAGCAAATGTGGTAGCATTTGCAATCCTTTCAGCTAAGCAGAGGAACAAAAGGGAAAGTTTCTCAGCATTAATGCCATAAAGGAGTGAAATTCAAGAAGCTCAAATCAAGTGACCTCGCTCTTCTCTATAAAATGGTTGGTTGTTGTCTTGATCAAAGAATTGGTCAAAATGCATGCAAAAAGTAGTGAGGCTTTACATTATTAAAGGTAAGAAAAAAAGTATGCCCTGCAGAGTGAAAATGGGCCACTCTGAACTGATTTTAAAAGCCTAAGAAAGGCAAGGTTGTGTGATTTTTTTAAAAAAAAAATTCAAATATACCTATAGAAATGTTATTTTATATTTGAACAAATATAATTTAAAGAAAAAAGACTGTACTTAATGTAGAATTACCAAGAATATAAGGTGCTAATAGGAATGGAGAATTAGATACTTTACTATCAAAAAGTGACATAGTTCCCTCATATAAAGACAGTGTTTGTTACACTCTCTTTTGCATAACTGGAAAATAAAGGTTCCATGAATCATTTAAATCAAGGTATGGTGTATATGCAAAAGGCCATGTGAGATAAAACAACTTCTAATTCTTCAGTCAATCATCTGTTTATAAAACATGTATCTCATGTATAAAGTGCAGAATCTGTTCCAGATTAATCAAATCAAGCTGGGCATGGTGGCACCACACCTGTAATGCCAGCACTTGGGAGGCTGAGGCAGGAGGATCCTTGCAAGTTCGAGGCCAGCCTGGGCTACAAAGTAAGCTCAAGGCCAGCCAGAACTGCATAGCCAGACCCTGTCTCAAAAAAAAAAAAATACCCCCCCAGATTAATCGAATCAGTGTACTGTCCATTCACATACAAGCCTACCCTTCCTCTTGGAGTTTTTTTTAAGTTATACAATAAAACAAGTTAATCCTCAAAAAAATTGCTGTTGATGCCATCAACTAAGAAGAAGGATATGAAGATGGAGAAAAGGTGGCAATTTGAACTGTCCATAGGAGATACAAAGAATGGGATAAAAACGTGTCAGCAGAGACTGAGGCGCACATAACCTTGTTTGTACTTTTCTCCAAGCAGCACTGGCTGGTCCAGGAAAGGCACGAGAGGTCCTGGTGGCTGCTTGGGCCTGGCGTTAGGCAACAGAGTGACCCCCATGCCATCACAGAAATGCTCAGGAGGGGATCAGGATGCCTGGGGTGGGGCACTGTGAGAAAAGGGAAGCAGATGCAGTGCTCACCAGGGCAGACCATCAGAGAAGGAGGCAAAAGAGTGGATCAGATCAAAGAAGGTTAATGATGGAAGTTAAGCTTTACTTTAAAATGGAAACATATAAGCACGTGGGAATAGTGAAACCCACATACTCATCTGTAAGATTAAACAGTTAAAAGCTGAGTACAAGTCAGTGATATAAGATGTGACAGGATAGAACAGAAGAGGGGATGAGGTGCTAGAGGTTGAGAGACAGGGGCCATTATATGAATACTCTCACCAGTGGCCAGCAATAGGAACAAAGGCTATATCAGCTAAATGCCAGATGGTAACAGTGCACTGTTTTCTTTGCTTTCTACTTACTCAGTTACAAAGGGAGAAGTGGGCTTAGAGTTAACAACAAGTTGTGAACTCAGAGGTAGGAGGAGCCAGAGAAACTTAGTAAGGATGGCAAAGGTGGTGGGCTGAGGGTGACCTGCAGCAGAGGGTAGTAGGGAAAAGGATGAAATAATGATCTCTCTGATTCCTTAAGCAGGGAAAGAAAAGAATGCTCATTTTTGGAGAGGATTATGAAGGACCTGGATTCACACAGAGGAAGCCTGTGTGTGTGTGTGTGTGTGTGTGTGTGTGTGTGTGTGTGTGTTGCCAGTTTTCACCTCCTTTGGGGAAGGCAAAGTATGGTTAAAGGAGAATTTTGTCTGAAGAAGACAGAATTTCCATGGAGGCACCATGGAAAGGACAAGCAGGGGCTGATGGACCTGCAAGGAAGAATTTGTTTTGGATGACAATGAGGGTTCTGGAGATTTATGGGCAAGAGGGTGTTACTACGTGTGTGCATCTGGACACTTCAAAGTCCTGATGGTAAAAATGGAAGAAGCAGTAGATTTTCAGATTCTTAAAATGAAGATAATAACTTATATGTTAATTTACATACTATGTATCCTTTGTATTTTAACTTCTGTGGGTCAGTTACTGTTGGCTTTTTAAAAAGGAGGATAAAAAATGAATTAGTGCTCTGATTTACATTTGGATAAATCTTGTTATTACCACATTTTTTTTATAGTTCTATATTGGAAATAGTGCCTAGTGTTTCATAATAAAATTTAAAAGAATGGGAGTTTCTTTCTGATGAGGCCCCAAAATGTTCTTCTCTAGAATATCTGTTTAAATTTTAGTTTCTCCACAATGCTTCCAGGCACTTCAGCCTCTGGCATAGAGTATGTTATTATGCACTGTTAAGTCTTGGGCTAATGCCTTTACATATTTCTTCACTTGTTAAAATATTTCTTTGGTGAGACATAGGCTATTTGCATGATTCCTGAAGCTGACCATTAGGACGGAAGGACTGTCTGTCTTGATCTTTTTATAACAGCATAACAGAACCTAGTGACACATGCTTCCAAATGAAGGTAATTTCTGAAAAAGATACAAATTTGTAGATGCACTTAAATGGACTTTGGGGTTGGAGGGAGGATTCATTTTAAATTGTAAAACTAACATTTGAGAATGTTCCAGAGCCAGGCATACCCATCTGTTATATCAGTTCTCATAATAATGCCATAGAGCAGTAGTATAGCTATGCCCATTTTTAAAATGGACATCAGAAATGTTGCGTGACATTCCCAGTGTCACACAACCAGTGGCACAGCCAGAATGTAGTGTGGGTCTTGCCCATACGTTACATTGCTCATGACCACCCAAGAGAAGTGACACTTGTAAGCAGGAAGAACATTAGAAACCTAGAAACAAGCTTTTAGACTTTGCAGAATTTTCCCTCACTGCTTAAAGCTGTTTATCATTATATCATTCATCTGCAGATAAAAATATCTAAATGTCACTTAATTTTATAAAGCAAAGACTAAAAGCTAAAATAGACTTCTAAAAATTATGTTTATTAGTACATTTTAAGTATACATAATGATCACATAATCATAAGGAATTTGTACTTGTACACAGCACAACTTGATTCTTTTTTTTCCCATTCCCCTTAAAATAGACTTAAAGATTGCCAGAACAAATGGAAAATAGGTGCTTTGAGTTTCCGTTGAACGTTTTCCTCAGTTGGCTATTTCAGAAGTCACATACCAATTAGAACCCAAAGTAAACTTGTTGAGATCATGGTCACTGCTCTTTAATTGCTGACTGACATATTTGTGGCCACTGCAGCATTTCCCAGTTTTTCTAGCTTTAGTTGTTTTAAAAGAATTGTTATTAAATAAGAATGATGGAGACTGGCTTCCTGTATCGTCACTGTCATTTATACAGTGATGAAGCCATTGCAGTAGGCATCACAGATCAATATGTTGTTAGTATTTATCCTGCAGACTTTAAAGTCAAGCCTGGTTAATATTTTTTGGTAAACATACAGACTGGAATGGACTTCTAGGAAGGATGGGTCAGTTTATTACATGGTTACGAGTTCAGATGCATGTATTTGTTAACATGCTCAGCATTACCCACTACTGTCAGCTCATGGTTGTTTGGCAGTTTGCCTTTTGAACGTGTCTTTTTCTGACAACACTTATGTTCTCAAAAGGCAGGAGAAAGAGGAATTGAGAAGAAAGGCAGAGGAGGAAAGGCAGCGCCTAGAGGAAGCCCGTAAACAAGAAGAGGAAAAGAATCTCCAAGAAGAGAAAGAAAAAAGAAAGTCAGGAGAGGAGGCCAAGCAGAAGGCTGCGGAGGAGCTGTTTTTGAAAGAGAAACAAGAAAAAGCCATGATTGAAAAGCAGGTGCAGTCTGAGTGTTCAGATAGACTTCCTTATTTTGTTTTTCAAGACCTTAGTTAATATTAGGTGAAATTCATTAAATTTAAATGACTAATGGTAGTTACTTAAGGTTTTTTTCTTTTTTCCTTAAACTGTCTGGACTAGTCATTAAATAAAAGTTGCTTGGGACAAGTTTGCTCTCTGTGAGTGTGAGTTTCCACAAAGGTAGACCCTGTGGTATGAATTTGGGTGTCAGTTTATTTGAGAAGGGATCCTATAAAGCTGGTATGGAAGCAAGAGACAGTAAGGGAAATTAATGAGGGGGTTACTCTTGGCAACTGGAACTCAATAGCATTGGGATCTCCTGAGAGCCTGGGGATCATGGTTGCTTTAAAATTGTCCCTCTGAGGAGTGAGGAATCTGAATAATTTATCTGCTAGCACCCTGTTTGTGGAAGGTTCCTCCTTGGGGAATTAACTCCTAGAAACTTTTGGCTTACAGACAAAGACTTTGGCCATGTGAGAAAACGATCTACAGATGATTTTCACGGTGGGCTGAAGTATATGGATAAAGTCTAACCACATCTACTGTGTCGTAAAGCAAGTGTGTAAATCCACATAGCGTATGGGAAAGGCATCCACTTTGGGCTAGATGATGGGGAGACAGAACTTGTGCAAAGCTAAAAGAATTACGACCGTGTTTTCTCAGCTTCATAAAGCCTATACCTTGGTTTACCTGTTTTTGTTTTTTTGTTTTTTGTTTTTTGTTTTTTGTTTTTTTTTTTTCAGAAAGAGGCAGCAGAAGCAAAGGCCCAGGAGGCTGCTAAACAGATGCGTCTAGAAAGAGAACAAATCATGCTGCAGATTGAGCAGGAGCGGCTGGAGAGGAAAAAGGTAAGGGCAGAGGGATCAGGAGGACTTAGGATGAGGGTGAAGCAGGAACAGGAGGCAAATCCAGCTCTGTTCTGCAGTGATTGGGTAGAGTGCTCTTAGACTTGTCAGTTAGGGCAGTGTCTTTGATAGTGCTGTTTAAATCTTCTGTATGTTTGTTTTTTGTCATCTTGTTCTGTCAGTTACTGAGAAAGCAGTGGTACAGAGTTCCATCTGTGGTTATGGATTAGTCTATTTTTCCTTTAAGGTCTGTCAGTTTTTGTTTTAGATATTTGAAGCCCTGTATATTTTAGATTGTTTAATTTTCCTGCTGAATTGACCCCTTTGTTATAAAATTACCTTCTTAACTCTAATAATATTTATTTTGAAATTTGCTTCAGCAGCCTTTTTATGATTAGTATCTGCATGGTAAATATTTTTCCATCTTTTTACTTTGAACCTATATGTGTGCCCTTATAAGAGGGTCTGATGTAAATAGCATATAGTCAGGACTTACTATTATAATTGTTTGTTTCTGTCTTTTAATTGGAGTGTTTAGTCCCTTTGTACTTAATTTACTTATAGATAAAGTTGAGTTTAAGGAGACTGATCCTAAGGGTCTGTTCTCGTGATGTCCTAGGCCAGTGATAGCAAACTGTTTAGAGCTTTCAATGATACAAATGGCCCGCTGCTGCATGCGTGCCACGGGTTCACCACCACTGGGCTCAGCCTGGCCTTTGTGTTCCTGTAAGGCTGAGAGCCGGGAGACCAGCCTCTGGTCTTCCCTCTTGAGCTTCAGCTCAAAGTATCAAGGGCAATACTCTTGAATGCTGGATGGTGACTTGTTGACTTATAGGAAACCTAAGAAGAGGAAGGAAAAAGGTGGGATATAGATTGAATATTGATTCTAAATATGCACTGGTGTGCTTCATTTGACATTTTTCATAAGCGAGAGGTATACATCTGCAAAAACGTGAAAATCTTTTCTATACTCATTATCCTCTGCTGAAATTTGACTTTTCCAAGTTTTCTGAGAAATGTGAAATTGCATGTAGACCCAACAGCTTTTTTATATTTTTGGTCTTACAGTCCTCTCACCTTTTGTTTGTTTCCAGAGAATAGATGAAATCATGAAGAGAACAAGGAAGAGTGATGTGTCTCCAGAAGTAAAGGTACAGACTTCAGATGACCATTATGTGCTGAGTGGAAAAGGACAGCAGGATACATTCAGTGTAGTTGTGGGTTCTGGAGAGAATTAGGAAAAATGGATTCTTCCTGCTCTCTTCTTGGCTAGGTTAAATACGGTACAGGGTTCTGAAAAAAAATAGGAGCTTCAGAGATGGAGCAGGTAAAAGATTTCCTCAGAACAGTGGGATGGACATACAGGGAGAGGCATAGTGGTACATGAATACAAAAGAGAATGGTGACATATTAATAATGTGAAACAGCTGAAGATTCAAAGACTTGCTGTGAACCAGGCAGATGGCCCAGCAGGGCTCCAAATATCTTCTCTTGCTTAAAAATAATACATGTTTTACTATGCAGTGTCAGCCTTCCTTCTTTTTCATCCATGCTCTTATTTTCAGAAAGAAGAGCCTAAAGTGGAGATTCAGCCTGTTGTGTGTGTGGAAAGTAAGATAAAACCAATTGTCCCCAACAAAATAGGTAAGTGTTCTTGGGCTGTCCCTTTCAGCAGTGAAGGCTCAGAAAGCTTCTTACAGGGGGATAAAGCCTGTGGGTCCCAAGAGCGTGACTGCTGGCAGTTTTCCTGCCTGGGGCATCTATAGAAAACCGCTGGCTTCCTCAGTTACTCTGCTGATGCTGGCATGGAAGGCATGCTGTCTGCTGGCCCTCGATGCTTTCCAGGGAGCTTATCTGTTGGTCAGGTGTTATTAAGAGCTGGCTCTGCTCTTCTCCTGAGGCCCTGCAGACAATTTTAATGTGCTTTTTCTTCTCTTCCCCTGTGTGAGGGTGATTACATAGAGTTATTGGTGATTCTTTTCACAAAAGATGTTGCATCATTGGTGAAGCAGAGTTTTAAATTAATTGCTTTGTTACATGTTTCCTGTTATTTCATTGTTACTGGATATATTATGACTCACATGAGGATTTTGTGCTCTTGATCAGAACTCAACGGATTGAACACATGCCAGGAAATTAAAGGCATGGGGCACACTGCCCCCGAAGCTTTTCCCCGAGATGTTTTCTCTAATGGGCTTAAACCAGTTGGGGGACTTGTTCATCTGGGTGCCCTTGATGGAAAATCAAACAGTCTGGATGATTCAACTGAAGATGTTCAGTCTATGGAAGTGAGGTATGTCAGTTTCTTTTTTATTTAAACTTCATCCCTTCTCCAAACACCATCACAGTTCTTTAGTTAGTTTCTTCAGTGTTACACAACCAAATCACCTGAAGCAGGCTTGGTTGACATTATAGGAAAGCCATCAGTGGAATAGTTCCAGAGTCTTGCTTGGGTAAGGCTCCCTGGAAGCAGAACCTGGGACAGTGTTTCTGGGCATGTGATTTATTAGGGAAGGACTCCCGGGAGTTTGTGAGGAGGAAGGGCAGAGTGGGAAGGCACTAAGCAGCAGTGTGTTCTCAGACAATCCCACAGGAGCCTAGAGTCTGAATTTCCACTAGAGAGTTGTGTGACTGAGATAAGGTAGGTGAAAAAAAGATAAGTTAGGTGGCTTTTTGTACCACTGTGTCACTCATTCCCTGTGGGCTCTGTAAGGTGAAGGATGCAGGACTAATTGTGGCTGTCATCAGCCAAAGGAATTTGCCCAGAGAGAACATGGCAACTGTGAGCCTTTAGAAGCCCACTCTCTGCTGCTGGAGATGGGTGCATCTATAGGTAAAGGGTATCAATCTAGCCAGGCCACCAACAGGGTCACTTTTATAGAGAGTCTCATATTTAAGTAAACTTGTTACTAGAGACTTAATAAAGGAATGAATTTGCTTTTGGATCCTAAAGCCTAAAGAATTCTTAAATTGGTTTCATGTTTGTAGATGACATCATCTGGCAAATTAATCTCATATAAAAAGAAGAACTAATTGGCATGGGATTAAGGCAGAGGTGTTGAAGTAGACAGCCTTGAACAGGGCAGTTGGAGTAGGAGGTGGTTCTCTGAGTCAGTAGAGTGTGACAGTATTTTGTAAAAGCACTACTAGAGCTACAGCCTGCAAAGCTTACCTTTCTTTCATTGGCTCTGAGTTCCCATTCATATTTACTGAACTTGAGCCAAATGTGTGAAAGTCCAGGGTGCAGCAGCTCCATCATCAGTAGAGCAGGTTATGTGAGACTGATAACAGGACCCCTCAGAACCTTGCTTAGTCTTCCTTTCCCAACACCACCATCATGATGGGCTTTTCCTGACTGGTTCCATTCTGCCCCCAGCAGAAAAACAACTGAAGCAATCTTTTTTCCCCGGGTACTGGGGCTCATGCGTGTTAGGCAATCGCTGTACCACTGAGCGACATTCCTAGCCCTTTTTATTTTGAGATGGGGTCTCACTAAGTTGCCCATGCTGGCCTAGAACTTGTGATCCTCCTGCCTAGGCCTCTCAAGTGACTGAGATGATCTTTAGGGTTAATGCAACATATTTCCATCCCTACATTGAGCAAAGTATGCTTACTCTTTTATGCCTTTTAGGTGGAGGTAGGAGAGTAACAAGACATGGTACCGCTGCCCAGAGCTCAAGGAAGGGCTTTGCACACTGCGTTCTCCTTTAGAGAGAGGTGTGATTCCTGGTGGCTGTACCCAAGCATAGGGTGACATTTTCTTTTTCCCATGCTCTGACCATTTTTATGTTCACAATTGGGCTCTAATTCATATGTCTTACTGCTGAGTGACTTGAACCACCAGTGATACCTGCATGATTGTGCCATCACACAGTTTTTAAATTTATTTTGTTAGTAAAAAGACTGATAAAAATGGTTAGATCCGTTTGTACCACCAGTGGTACAAGCCACCTACTGGGACAGTTGTGCATGTTTCACCAGTGGTTCAAGCTGGCAGGAGTTAAACCTGGGGATGGAGGTAGGGAAAAATAAAGATGAGACAGGGTGTTTCTGCCTAATGAGGCATTTTGCCAAGGCTTCAAACACCAGAAGTGGTGTTAGGTTAGCTACTTCCCTTTAACTGGGTTCAGGTGTGAAGGAGGTAGACTATCTGAGTTGCTTCAGTTCAACTGGTTTTTCTAGATTCTTCTCTAAGATTTTAGAAACCCGCCTTACTCTGGTTATTAAGAGACTCCTGGGAACAAGACCTCTGAGCCCACCACTCTTCTGGGCCTGGATTGGCTTGGTGTATAGCAAGCAGCAGTGAAACTCCTTCCATCTCTCGGAGGAGGATGGAGGAACAATGAAGCTTGGCTAGGCAGAACTGGATAAGTCAGGGTGGATTGGAGGAAGCCTGGCTTCAGGGAGGAGACAGTGGGTGAGGCTGGCTCTATAGATAATTAAATGGATAGGGTCCTTGTTAATGATCCCACCCCAGTCCCCAGCCTTAACTGTGCACTCAGGTGGCGTAGCATGAACTCTTCCCAGCTAAGTCACTTTCACACTCTTGGGAGCCCTGGGAGGGAGAAATAACTATTCTTCCCATTTTACAGGGGAGGAGACAGAGGCCAGAGGCAGGAAAATCAGCTCAGCCAGGACAGCACTGCTGGAAAGGCAGTACCAGAGTTACTAGGGCCCAGTGTTAACTAGGGCCCCTCCTCATCTAGCTTTGAACTTGGGGCTTTTCTGTCTGTTTGAATGTCCCATTTTGAAAGTTCTAGAAGGGTCTTGCTTCTCAGGAGTAAAGTGCTTATGCCTGCATCTTTTTTCCTTTCACCCATTGTTGCAATGTAAGCTCAGCCTTCACAGCCCTGTCCAGTGTACTTCTCTACAGACCCGTGTCTACCACTTCCTAGATTTGAACCTGTCTCTAAGTCCATCTTCTCTAGAAGAGTAATGTAACAAAATATTATAAATAAAATGAAGCACATTGACATATTGTGCGTCATTCTCATGTTCTCTCATCTCTCTCCTTGCGTCTCTTCCTGTCTCCATCGTTCTAGTCCTGTTTCCAAAGAAGAGCTGATCTCCATCCCAGAGTTTTCACCAGTGAGTGAAATGATTCCTGGAGTGTCTCTGGACCAAAATGGAACTGGTAATGCCCGAGCACTTCAAGATCTCTTAGACTTCACTGGTCCCCCAGCGTTCCCCAAGAGATCCAGTGAAAATCTCAGCCTGGATGACTGTAACAAAAACCTTATTGAAGGATTTAACAGTCCTGGCCAAGAAACTACTCTGAACACTTTCTGTTGACAAATGCAACATCCCTTCAATAAAAGGTATAGTCTTTCAGTGATACTCTAAATCTGTAATTCCCCAACTAGGGTATGTGAACATAGGATGAACATCACTCAGCTCCAAGATGGCCAATTTTATCTGCAAGAATGCAAATACAAATATGTATTGCAGCACATACAAGAACTGAGATGGATTTCAATTACTTCTTTCATATGTATTCTATAGTGCCATGCCATGCCCACCTTGCCCCTGCCACTTGAGCGTGTGAGTGAGAAGGCTGAGAAGCAGTGGCTAAAGGTTGAACCACCAGCCCATCTTAAGTAGTACTTTTTCCAGGAACAAGGATAGAATGTTCTCATAGTGCTGCAAAGCAGTGGTAGTAAAACTACTCCCTCTCCATGTCCCTGCCTACCTGTCAGCCTGTCTCTCTGTCTCTGTCTGTCTCTGTCTCACCCTGTCTCTCTCTCTCCCTTTTCTCTGCCCTCCATGCGTCCTTCGCACTTAGTAAACAGAGGATCTGCCACTGGGCTTCGTCCCCAGCCCCCCTCATTTAAGAATGTGGGTTATATGTACTCTGTAGTTATGTGCACATAGATACCCACATTTCACATTTTATTTACTTCACTTTGGGACTTGTTTTTGAGTAATGAAAACCTATTTAGGATCTATCATCAAATCTATTCATAACTTTTCTCTTTTGGTACCAGGAATTGAATTCAGGACCTTGCACCTGCCAGGCAGGCGCTTATGCCACTGAGCTATATCCCCGGCCTCTTTTCATAACTTAATAATTTCTATAGTTCCTGTCATTTTAGACTCTCAGAAACATTTGTATATTCTCATCATTCTCTGTCACTTGATTTTTATGATGCTGCACTTCTCTTATTAGAAGTTCAGTGCCGAAAATGATTTCATCCAACCTCAGATACGTTTAAGTCTTTATCAAGGTAATTATCATAAACACAGGTTAACAGACCAAGAAACATACAAATCACATAAAACAATTCTACTAAATCAAGGTAAACTTTCCTTTGTCTAACCATTTTACTTCTCAAACCAGGTAACAGGTCAGGGAGGCCAACACAGCTGAAGTCACTGTGTTTTATATACTTATTTGTACCTGACATTAGGTCTTGCCTATAGTCAATGAATTTTTAGACTCTCTTTCTCCCAGTTTTCAGGAAGACACCTGCAGTCCTTTGACACATGAAAGGAAACACATGACAGGTTACTTCTAAACTATATCCCTACTTCAGAAGGGCAGTTACTTTCTGGCACTTAACCATATTTATGTGGAAGTTACAATTTTTAAAAATTTTTGCATGAAATTCGTGTATGCTACCTACAAAAATTCCAGGCTCAAATATTTGAAGAGAAAATTTCTATTATTTTCCACTGTTATAGGTGCTCCAAAAATGGAATAGTGCACATAAATAGGTTAAAACCCTAATTCACCTGAGCAGCCTGTTTCCCTGACAAGTGTATGGCTTTGTATTTATTAAGAGGTTCCTTTTGCTATTATCTTATCTTGACTTAATGAGCTCCCCTCAGTTCACTTACCTTGCTACCCAGTAAGAACCAGAAAATCCACAAAACTTAGGAGAATATTCATGAGTCCTCAAATTTATTCCCCACATCCCTGAAAGAAATGTAAAATCCCTATCCAAAAAAAATTTTGGTTCAATCACTTTATTCATACTGCCTGTACATTTTTTATATTTTATAGTTTAGTTCTAAAATCCTTTTCAACCAAAGATGGTGCCATCCCCACTACGGAGTATTTAGAAACATGTTGGTGGGTTTTGTTGTCACAGTGGATGGAAACATTCAGAAAGTAACTCTTGAGACATGAAATATTTGTAGGCTTGGATGCAAGGGAGATTCAATAGGCAGCCATCCCCTTTTACCCTCTCTGCTGTATGTGTGTCTCTCCCAAAGCTGTGCTCTCAGTTAAAAGGACAGCCTTCCCAAATAGGAGAGGATCATTCTTTGGTCAAAGGTAAAAATAAAACATCTGAAGATGTTAGGAAAGTCTCACACAAAATTTAACTCATCTAAAAAGGATGGTCTTGTGTAAAATACTGCAGTACTTCTATTGAGAAACACTGTATGAGCCAAGGAAAATTTAATTATCAAGTACAAAATCCTTTTCTCCATTGATCTCATGTGGTTTTGTGTTTGAATTAACACAGGTGGTGTTTGGAGCACCCGTGAAACTTCTGGTAGCCAAATACCAGCTGCCCAGCCATCTGAAGAAACTTCTGTCACCCTTCACCGCTGGATTCCAAACTATTAGACTGGAATGTAACTATTCCTAGGTAGTATGTCAAACACTGTCCTCTCTTGGTAGAAACCTTGAGATTTCCACCTTATTGGGCTGTAGCAAAGTTTCGTTTTATGGTTCTATTTAGGAGCTTCAGTCGCAACTAAAGCACTGCCTGTCCTTGTCTATTATCACAGTGACCCTCTAAGTAACCTGAGTGATGCTGCCTTGGAAGTTCACTCTGTGGCTGGCCTCTTTCCTGGCCTCAGAGCCCATAAGCACTTAGATGTCTCCTCCTATAAATATTCTAGGCATTTGCTCAACTCTAGTCAAACATGTCCTCAGCCTGGGCTGCATATCCCCTTTCCTTTGTTTCAGAGGAGAAGAAATTCAGGAGCTTCTCCCTCTCTGGGCTTTCTCTCTTGAAAATATTATCAGGAAGTCTTTTTATCTAAGCTTTGGCACCTGCAAATGCACTGCACCACATTACTCCTTTGGGGTTGATCAGTTTGAGTTAGTAAGGAAGAGTTAAACAGTGTGTAGTGATTTCTGTTCTCTTACGCATATTCTTATATGCATGGGCAACTGAATCAGGCAAGGGCCCTTCCTATTGCCCCTTCAAATTTTGCATCGTAGTCCTTCCAAACCATCAGGTGGTTTTCCTACTGAATGACACTGAATGTGTGTCATGTGCAGATGTTTGGTTTGGGGTTTGCTCTTGTTTTTCTGTTGGATCTTGGGGATTTTCTTTGTTTGCTCCTATGTTTGCCCAACTATATTAAAACTATAGATAAAAAGCATAGTGCTCTAAAACAAGGGGGCCCAAAATTGGTCCCAGTATGTCACTTTAATAGACTGTAACATAAAAAAGATCTGAATGGGGAAAAATTACACTAGAATGTATACTGCACACATTTTATGCCATATAACGCTGTATTTTCTTATTTTTTCTTTTATTGTGGTAAAATGTGACTTTCAGATTAAAATTACCTTTTCTTTGAAACTTGCATTTTGACTTGTATTAAAGGGTTTTGAGAGAACCATAATGCTGAGAGAGGTTTGCAAGTCTCAATAGTAATCTCATTCATGTGCTTTTAAAGCAGGCTACAGTTTAAGAATTTATTAGTTATGAAAACTGTGTATGTTTATGTATGTGTATATACTAAATAAAATACATGCCTCTAATAATGTAGTTGCACTGATCTTGATGAATATTGGGGGAAAATCCCTTTTCTGATAAGCACACAAAATGGCAGCATGGCCTGACTTTAAAAATGCCTGCCCATCTTTATGGCTTTATTTTGCTATAGATGTCTGGTGTGTGTGTGTGTGTGTGTGTGTGAGAGAGAGAGAGAGAGAGAGAGAGAGAGAGAGAGATGCTGTACCTCACAGCACCATTGTGACCATGGTGATGCCTCATTTGCATGATGTGTACATTCTGTTTAATGTGAAATATACTTTCATTGAAGTGATGGCTTGCTAGTGTTTTTGTTTCTTTGTAAGCTCAATGAAGAATTGTGGTAGAACTAAACCAAGTTTTTTAAACCTATTGGACCATGTGGGACAAAACCCAAATCCTACACAGGTGTTCTTTCCCTGTCAAACTTAGTAAAAATTCCTCTCTTGTCATTGCCAAGTGGACCAGCTATGGAAACAAGCTTAAGTAATGGCCTGTCCCTAGAACATGATGAACTTCTGAAGATAGCTAAGTTGTTGTACTTTCATACAAATACTGTCTAGCTAGCTAAGACACATTTAACCTTGGTGTAATCTAGGAGAGTATTTCATATGGCAGTTGGCATTAAAAAAATTTATAATAGGAATGTTGGCCCTTATTTTCAAGGAAGCTGAAACATAGACCAGCTTTTTTGTATCCAAATCACAGGCTTGTCCGCTGCCTGGAAAAGGTACCAGCACAGACTAGGAGCCAGGTGGACATGACTAGAAGTATACACCCTCATGGTAACTTCTGGGCTGCCATCTCAGAAGCTGAGGCCCAGGCTGCTGTCAGAGTCAGGACACAGGAGGACACTTCACTACCTTTATACACAGGGCTTTGACAGGGCATTAGGAATGGCTTATGTCATTATGAGTGCTGGCTATGGGGTCCCAAGAACAGCTGCTACTTTATGAACATTCTAAAATGTTCCATAGCATATACAGATTTCTTGTTAGCCAAATGCTTTTATAAACTAAATTTAGAAAGCAAACATAAAACATACAGAAATAAGTGTAGGGAAACACAAAAGTACAAGATGGTGGTACTGTCCTTCAGACTGTGAAGGGAAGGGGATCTATGAGGCAGTGGATTCTGATAATGGAACCCCAGTGCAGTGCATCTCTAGTACCCAAATGTAAGTAACTTCTATAGCCAAAGTCGATGTTGGCTGGTGTAAATAACTTACATAACCAAGGTCATTACTGGCACATGGCTACTACCACGTATTTTGGTATCAGTGTAGACTGCTGTGAGGGCTGGCAGGAGACTAAGTGACCAAGGACTGCTTCAGGAATGGGCAGGCTAGGGGCCCAGTGACTGCCATGCACAGCTGAGCTGAGCAGCTGAGAATAAAGATGTCTAACCCCGTCCACAGTTCTGTGTCTCTTCTTCGGGCTCTCTAAATCTCCAGTGAACCTTCCCAGTCTGAACTAGTGACAAGACACTAATTTGTTCTACAGGTGTACCTGCTACATGGGGGCACAGCATGGGGTGTCCTACATTCCCACTTCTCAGAGTTGTTCAGGAAGCATGGTTACAAGGAAGAATGAAGTGAGAATTCATAAAAGTCAGAAGCCTTTGCAGGTATTCCCCCCCCCAGGAAACCTGAGAGAAATAACTGAAAAACTCTCAGAATAATCTTACAAGGAAGAGCCAACTGTTAAAGAAAACTCAATACTTCTTTTATATTTGCAACAAACAGGAAAAAGATCTCAAGAAAACTAAAAAAACTCCAAAAAATAACAAATCACATCTAAAACTTGACCGAAGGCTGTTAGAATAGATGAAAATGCAAAGACCTATGCATGTGAAGAAGGCTAACAGTGGCAGCACTCGCCTTTGTCTACTCAAGGAGATTGCTTTTTGATAGCTGAAAAGAATTACACAGTTCGTATAAGCAAATAAACACAAAGCTAAGAAACACAGTTTTAAAAAGGGAGAATTTCTTCAGCAAATAGTAAAATATTTAAAATTTAAGCAGTGTAGTCTGATAGAGAAATGGACTTTGCAATAGATACCAGAAATATTCAAGATACATAAGAATTTAATGTCTGACAAGACTGGATGTTGATCATGTGTACATGTAGAAAGGTAGCAGGTAGCTTTGTGTCTCCTGAGGGTCAACTTGAGTTTAGCACCTCTGAGCGAATGTGGATAAGGTTCCAGAAGTCACAGCAAGAACATTGCAATGCAGCAGCAGACTCCGAGGTGTGGCTGTCAAGATTTAAATCAGGGAAAAAATTTAGATGTAAGGCTTGGGGGCAGCTTCTGTGGATTCCAAACTGCCTGATACCCAAGAACCTGCTCTGCCCTCAGGGCAGGAAGCAGGAGGCCTCTGCTCACTGAGCTTCAGCTTTGGTGGCCATATGTCCAGAGTTCCTCCCATACACAGGGTGGTTCCAAGTCTTCTGCATGCCATGAGGTGGGTATGAGAGGGTAGCTTCCTCAAGGACACTCAGCTAGAATTTGGCAGAGCTAACTTTGACTTCAGGACTCCAGCCTTGGTGCCCATAAGAGGAAGCTGATGAGCTCTTCTGCCCTTAAGAATAGCAAAAATAATGTGCTACTGCTTATATCAGTACAGGGGCAGGACCTCCATGAGGAATCCTAGTTCTGAGTGTGCTTTAAATTATTGAGAGATAATCCGTATGCCATAAAATCCATCTTTTTAAGGCATCCAAATCAATGGCCTTTAGTACACTGACAAAATTATACAACCATCACTAATTCCAGAACATTTTCATCTGCGTGTGCCTTTTCAAGGGTTTGTTAGCCATGCACCAGAGCCTGGCTTTATCAATCGTTAGATCAAGTTCTGGTACCTGAAAGCAAGAGCATGGGATTTGAAAATAGTACAGAACTCGCGTTCCAATGGCCAAATAGGGTGGTGGTTATGTAACTTCATTAATGTGGGCTGTTTTGTGGTGTTCTTGTTCACTACACAAACCTGCCTAACAGGCTTACTTAGCAGGTGCCTAGTACAGGCCTCTGGTGTTGATGAGAGACATAGATTAAGCAAAGCTATGATTTAAAGTGCTTTGGGGGACATACCTTTAACAGTGACCAGGCAAAAGGTGACCTACAGTGTGACTTTACTGGCTCTTGTGTTTCTGGGGCAGATTGCTCATGTCAGTGGGTAGAGAGGGAGTATTTCAGTGCCTTTTTTTTTTCCACATAAGGTCCAGATCATGATCCAAGACAGTGGGCACTCAATACACTGGGTAAAGAAGTCACCTTCTGCTCAGAGCCTGAAGGCTCCCTCGGAAAAGTCAGAGGGAGCTGAAAGTCTTCAGGTCTTGCATGTGGAGAGCTCACCCCTATCTCCAAGCTTTGTAGTAAATAAGACACTCTGGCTGGTGCTTCCATGCTGCAGTTGGGAAATACCAAAGTGTAACCCTTCTAACTGGCTTCCAGGGATTGTTTTATTTATTTTCTTTTCCTGGTACCGGGAATCGAACTCACAACCTCGCGCTTGCCAGGCAGGCGCTGTGCTGCTGAGCTAAATCCCCAGCCCCAGGGATTGTTTTAGTTAGGGGAAATGTTTCAAGCTGCCAGCTTTCTAGACTTCCAAGAAATTACTAAGGCAGGCTTTTCTTATCTCACCTTACTGCAGGAAACACAAAATACAAGGAATAGAGTACCAAGGAATTAAAACTTTCCATAAAGTAACTTCTTTTTAGAATCAGAGTTGGCAAGTCTTTGTTGGTTGTATCTGTCTTTCAATCACATTTTCCTAATACAGGTTGAGCACTAATGGCAGACTAGAAATAAAAAAAGGGAAAGAAGGAGGAAGTGTCCTCGTTTGGAAGAGCTCCAGTCTTTGCCATCTCTTGGACAGGCATCTCCAGTTTTTTCAGCTTTCCAAAGCACAGTTCTGGGTGTGTTTGTGGATGGCTGACATTTAGGCCAGCCTATTGGTTGGTGCTGCCCACATCTGGGGTGTGGGTCTTCTTCCCTTCCCTCAGTTGTCTGGCCTACATGTCAGTCATCCACAGACACACCCAGAACTGTGCTTTACTAATCTGCTAGGTGGCTCTTAAATCAAGCTGACACAGCAATTAACTTTCACATTGACTGTGAAATACTTATGCATGAATAAGTATAAGAAAATGAGTGGTTATTGGTAGCATATGAATTCATAGGAATGATGGTGATGCCAAACAACCATAGATTGTCCGCATGGGTGACTGAGATAATGGCACCTTTGCTTTTTTTGATGGCCCAAAGCATACAAGCTTTGTTTTATGCAAAAAGCTATTAAAATATGATACACAATTACTTTCAGGCTATGTGTATAAAGTATATAGGAAACAAATGAGGTTCATGTTTAGACTTGGATCCAGTCCCCAGAGTATCTCATTATGTAAGTACAAATGTCCCCAAATCTGAAAAAAAGTCCAAAATCTGAACCACTTCTGGTCCCACGCATTTTAGGCTTGTATTTGGAAGCAACAGGAAAGTTGTCCGTACAAAGGGGCTAACTAGGATGAGGCTCTGTCACACACAGTAGATGTGCCCAAAGCCTGTTGGATTGATTACAGTCAATGCAGTGGAACCTCTGTATTTTTTAAGACACACTGAATCTTACTAGCCAATGGGGGGAAAAGGAAAAATTTCATTTGCTGGCTGGAGCTGGCCTAAAGGGTTCTCAGGAGCCCACCCCTGTGTGGTGACACCCCTGATGGCTGGTAGGAAGTGTTCAGTGTTTACTGATGTTAAGAAATCATCCTGAATGTGAGTAAAACAAAACGTACAACTACTAGAGCACTGTCTTGAGGTAGTCTGAGGGTCCACGGAATCTCAGAGGATTTGACTTACGTGACTTGCTTTTTTTTTTTTTGACTGCCCAATGCATACAAACTTTGCTATATTGGTTAGGATCCAGTCTCTGGAGTTAGAGATTCACTTGTACAAAGAAAGCTGAAGATGGGGCTGGGGATTTAGCTCAGCGACAAAAGGCGCCTGC